GTTTATTTTTTTTTTTATTAAAATATTATTATTTAAGAATAAAAATGAAAACATTTCAATATATTGTTAATACATATCAAGTAGTTAATTATTTATATAATACAAGCAAATTTAATTCAAGTGCAAATTACATTATTTTGGACTGTAGTTAACAGTGCATTTCATATGCCACATAATTTCCGGTAACTCAAAGTGGCTGTTATTTACAGTTCGTTTCTTGGTCAAAATTAAATTTAACTGCTATTTTGAGTGAATTCCTATTATGTTAATATTGAACTGGCGCAATGGAGTAGATATGACCGACTGCCGGCTGACTATGAAAACATATAATAGACAAAGAATGAAGTTGTCTATATTGATTATACACAAGGAAAACACAGAGTTTAGAAAGTGTAAAAAAAATATTTTATAAAAAATATGTTATAAAAATATGTGTGATAAAATATTAAAAATTATATATATAATTTAAAATTTTTACTTATAAATTAATTTTATTTAAGTAATTAATTGTCAATAAATAAACAAAATAAAAATGCAGTTTCAGCATTATATATAAATTCATTAGTGTATATAATTATTCTTATTTTTTTTAATTTTCTATATATATAAATTCATTAGTGTATACAATTATTCTTATTTTTTTAAATTAAATTTAATAACAAAATCAAATTGATATAAATTTATATTCATAATGTTTGTATTTATTACATATAACATTTTTTATTTACGTCCAGTGAGGAGGAACATGCGCATTTTCTGTATTTGCTCCATTTTAGCTTAAATGGAGTTTCATTTTCTTACTGCAGAAATTTCTCTACTTCCCTATCTCATAATCGCTTTTAGATAAGCTCAAACTCAGACATTTGCACTCAAATGCTCCACTGTTTCGATTTTATTTCGTAACTGTTGGGTGTTATTACAGAAATTTAACAGTACTCGTATTTCGTTAAGTATGATAATGTTAGCCTGTAAACTAGCAGAGTACACTGTAAATATTTTTATAAGGGAACAATTTTATTTAAATAATGTATGTATATATTTAATTAACAATATAATTATATATGATTATATACAGAAATTCTATTGATTACAGTATGTATATCTTTATAATTAATAACTACTGTCAAAATCGTCAAATTGTTTTTGTATAGATCAACAATACTTGATCTACTGTTCTACAGTCCGTCATCAGTTATAAATAAATAAATAATAATGATTCTAATAAAGTTAAAGTTTAGTGTGGGGGGCAAGGATAAGCCCCCCAGCCACAAAAGAGTAAAACTGCGCAATAGCACTAACTCAAATCACAACAACAATACTTGACATATATAAAATTAAGATCTTTAATCTAAATCAATCAAATCTTTATTCTCGACTTCTTAAACATTTTGTTACATATTTTTTTTTTTGTAGGTGAAAAGCATCAGCAGCCCACTGACTCAGAGGGCAATACGAGAAATCTTATTACAGTAATTTGGGTAGAGAGGTGAGATAAAGAGGTTTTGTACCTATTAGTCTAAGTGTATCAAAGTTGAATAGCATGAGCATGATATAGTTGGAAGATGGAATAGCTTGAGGGTTAAAGTTATTGCGTAAGCGCGCGGAGTAGATTAGTTGTGGATTCTGTGATCAAACTCATAAAATCCATGATAATAGCGGAGTGTAATGAAGGCATCTGAATGCCTTTCGTTGAAGAGTAATGTGTGGATTTGGGAAGGCTTGTGGCCAGCAAAATTTTAGAGGTAAGGATGCTAGAGGTTAAAATATCGGGAGATAGGTTATGAAGCCTGCAACGGTACCCACGAGCGAGGGTAAAGAAATACTCATCGATACGTGAAATCTAAGTATCTCGTATAAGTATTCTTGTAAAGAATGCAGCTGGAGAAGTACTTGCTGTCAGGCTTGCACTTGTAGTTGGTGCAATCACTGAGAATAAATCTTTTCTAAATCTTTTATAAATCTTTTATAAATCTTTTATTTTCTACGATAAAATAGAATTGATTTATTAAAATCACAATGAACCCTCCAGTAGAAGATATACTTACTTATAAGGTCTCAGAATATGGAAGAATGATGATATAAAGCAAAATCATAGAAAATCGTTACTGGTACATAAAAAAGAGAATTTTTTTTACCACAATCTGGCACCCCGAAAAGTGAATGCAAGACTCACACGGAGTAAGCCACTCCCCCTCATTCCTAGAGACATTATCCTATCCCGGGACAGCGTTAGTATTACTTCGAGGTAAGGTCCCTATTAGTCATTTGAGGTTTCCATCGATGCTGCAGGTGATTAACCTTGCCCTTCATCTTAGTGTGATACATGTGCTGCTTCTGTCAAGATTTACTTTTTTCAAACTCAGAAACTTTTCAATTAATATTTTTACGCGATCCCAGTGTGTTTTGTTTAACTACACAGAGAATGGACTACAAGTAATTGATGACACTAACTCCATAAGCGGACCTGTATTAGCTTTCATAACAGGATAGTTTTCCGAAGACCAAAACGAGTCAGCTAAGCTTTACAGAGCGTAAAGCTAAAGGTAGACTTCATAAACCATACTTGTTAAAAATTAAAATTAATGTATAATCACATAAACATGGACTCTATATAAATATTAAAATTTAAAAATTTTAGAAAAATCAAAACAAATATTTTATTTTTAAACACAACTACAAAAATTTTCCTCTCATATTTTGTAATTTCTTTAATTCAAAAACGAAATGGCATCGCCGAAGAAAGAATCTCAGTCATTTGGGGTTCATGAGCGTCCCATGTTACTAAAAGAACATGTCGCGTAAGTATAAAGACTTCTCTAAAAATAATGCTGTTGTCTTATTAAAAATTATTTTGACTTTCAGAAAATTAAAACAGATTTTGTTCAACAAAGCCAAAGCTTCTCGTGCTGCCAATGATAAATATTCGGTACGCAAGCCCTCAAAGGTGGATTTAATACAGTTCGTTCAGTGGGCAAATGACTTCCAGAAATGGAAAGACAGAATTGAATATATGTGCTCAATGAACTTAATGAAATTAATAAAGTCCGAAAATGTTGAGCAAAAATTAAAAGCTCAATTCGAGAAACTCTTAAAATTATGTGATATGTTTAATGATATGATGAAGGATTTCTTTATGGGTATGTCCTGGTTTAATGCTGTAGCGACTTTAGCTGCCGCTTCTGGTGGAGTGCGTAAGTTTTCGATTTTATATAATTTAAACCATTATATTTCCTACATGGACATACGTATTTATTCATATGTATAATTCAGGTCTTAGTTTAGACGACATAACGGAAATGAATAACAATCTTACTAGCGCTTGGATTCACATCAGTACGGGATTAGTCACCCTACTACGTCTTAGGTCAGTTGTTAGAGATGAAAATGCTGATGTTGATGAAAATGCATCTCAATCCAAATCGAAAACAGAGCAATCGGCTAGAGGTAATAAAAAGAACACCAGGCTTCAGCAGGTAATACGTGGTGTTAGACAAACACACACAGGCAGAAGTACGTTCTTATTAATAAATTATTCTTGTATCAATACTAATTTTTTTCTTAAATAGATAGTTTCAGATATTAAAGAAAATAATTTTATCGGAGAGATTCAAGTATTTGTTACAACCGTCTTCGATGTAAGAGGCATGAACATTATTATCCCTGAAGGATATTTGTTTTTTATTTATATATTTTTTTATTCCTTTTTAATAAAAGTTATTATAACTTATGATAAGATCACTTAAGATTAACAAGATATGATTTATTTATATATATGATATAATGATATATATGATAATATATACCTATGATTTTTTTTTCGTGGTGATAATGTGGAATGCTTTATACACTGCATTCGCATTACTTCGAGGAGGGTCACTCTTATGTTTTCGTTTCAAGCTGCTTCGAGACCTTCACTTTTTCACTGCATATACGATTACGATATTAAATATATAGTATCTAATTGTTGTCACAACTCATTCTTAAAACTTTATAATAAGAATGTGATAAGTTTGACAACATATTTCTAAATCATTGCTGGAGAGGTCAAACACATAACTTATAACTTACATAACCTATAGGTAAATGTTAGGTTGGAATACCTAAAAATGGACACTGACATATGAGGAATATAACCCTTATACAGAGAAACACTACTACCGAACACTCCTTTTGATTAGACAGTTTTTCTGAAGCCACCTTTTTTTTATAATTATTTGAAGAAACTTCAGTCCTTTGTGTTCTTGGAATCTTATCGCAGACTTAGGCTTAACACTTGCCGTCCATTTGTTTGACTATTGTGGTTTTTATCAGACACAGGTTATAGCAATCATAGGATTTCTTATATAAACGAATACACTTCAGTACCCAGACAGCTACATATATCCATGAACTCACTGATGTTACGTTCAAATTTTAGTCAGAATTATATTTGATCTGGTAGTACTTTGTGAGATCAAAAACCTTTCCGAATTATGCTTAATATGGACTCCGTCGCACATTAAAATTCAAAAAATAACAGGGCTAACGAATTAGTCAAACTGGGGAACTGATCTATCCTTAAAACTATTAAGAAATATTGCTATTGAAAATATCAGAAAGCCCTGGGTAATGGAGAGCACTTATATAACGCCTAGGCTAATGTATATAGTTGAACCTTAATAATGGGAAATCAAGAAAGTTGCTCAGTCTGCTAAGAATGTACACCTTTAAGGTAAAATATTAAAAAACTGAAAATTTCTTATTTATTTTTTTCAATTGGGATTGATTTCTTTTTGAAACATGTGATTCTTGATATCATTAATCATCTGTAATGATATCATTACAGCGTATCATATAACTCTTGAAGTATCATTAGCATCAAGTATCATCAAGTACATCCGATACCGGATGTATCGCAAGAGCAATAATAAGTTTTAATTCTTGTGTAGTGGAGAACCCAGGTTATATTCATTAGTAGAAAAAAAACGAGAATTAAGAAAGATTTCATTTATTAACGCATATACAAAAATTTATTTTGAAATAAAGGACTGCCTATAAGAGTTTTATAAAACGTATGACTGATGCTCGTGGGATTCATTTTCAATGAATAGGAAAGTCTTCTAAGTAATCCTTTTCATTTAAAATCATGTTATTTCTGTATATTGCTTTACACAGAGTTTTGGTCTTGATTCTTCTACTTTTTTCTATATAAGTTCTCTGTGTTAGGATTATGATTAGCTTCCATTGTAACAACTGACCGGAGATGTAGTAAGTTGATAATTTCATTACTGATATGAAACCAAGCGTCTCTAACTTTATTACTGAATTCTCTTATATCCTCCAAGTCAAACCCTAAATAACCCATAAATAATTTACAAGAAACGAGTATACAGTATAGATAATGATTAAAATTAAATTGGAACATACACAATTCATCTATACCAGCACCTAAGGACTCAATAGCACTGAACCAAGACATACCAATGCTAAAATCATTCATCATATCATCAAAGATCTCAAGTGTCTTCAACATTTTCTTGTATTGAGATATTAACATTTGTTCTGTGTTTCCAGGATCTGCAAATAGAGTAATATCTAAATTACGCATGTCTTTAATTCTACGCTTCCATATCTCAAAATTTTTGATCCAGTCAATGAATAATAATAAATCCTGTTTAGTAGGTAAATCAGCCTTTGGGTCTTCAACATTAAGAATACAGAAGGATTTGATATTATTAGACAAATTCTTTTTGACTTTTCTATAGTTGGAAAATGATCTAAAATCGATAAATATCAATACTATATTGCATATATGATATGACTACTTACTTTGACTTTTTATGTCTTTTTGTTGTGCTCTTATGAAAACCAAAAGCCTTACGTACTACCTCTTTAATAGACATTCTGTTTCTATTTCGATTTCAGAAATAAAGAATAGATAAAAAGAAAAAAATTTAACTGATTTTTTTAAAAATTATAATTTAGAAGTTTAATATATAAAATTCGGAAATGCGTATTTGATCAAATTTTTGTTATACAAATGTAAGTTAATAACGAGATCCAACACTAAAATCTATTGAAGTTGCTTGAAATCAACAACCCTTTATAATTTTTGCAGTTTTTTGCCATATATATGGGTATTTACCTATAATGTCGGATCAAACATGGCATGAAAATACACTTACCAAACCACATATATGAAAAGATCGGGCCACATTTAGAAAAGGCAGATCAACTAATTAATTTTGCTTGCTACTCACTGTCCAACATACCATAATTGCCGTACTAATAGAACCTTGTCTTATTGGTAGGCATGACGATGAATGCTGAAAGGCGTATCAACAACTTTACTCTATATTCGAGTTCGGGATTGCAGTTTACCGCTAGGAGTATTAGTTATAGCAATTTAACTGTCGGTAAAATCTTTTATAACCAGCCATAGCGACCGTCTAGAACCATTTTCAAAGACTAGTCTCATGGTTTTGGGTTAAAGGAGGATAAAAGAATGTTTCTCAAGATCATTTTCTTCTTCTTCTGGTATAAGTGCATCTTCAGCTTCTAGAACCATTCTGTATTGGCTTTGGTGTTGTTTTAAAGACCAAGTTGTTCTATTTTGAGAACAAAGATATAGTTTCTCATTGATAGATTAGGTTAGGTTGGGGTAGCGGTCTTTTACCTCTATAGACTAGAAGTACGTACAACGCTGAAAAGGCAGCGACCACCATTAGGTATAGATGAAGAAAACCTGACAATTCTATAAGCTTGTCTAAGTTTTTAATTTTGCAGGATGACAGCTGCAGTTAGGTAAGAAACATAGACCTGAACATTTTATATGTTCTCGTAAGTAAAGGCGGTCACATGATATACATGAGTTGGAGCGCAGTTTCCTCCTTATCCGCAGAACCACAACCACAACAAAAGTCATTATAGATTAAATCCAGTTTCATAGCATATCTTCTTTGTATGTCAAGGTATAAAGAACTATTATTTATTGTTTGGGAGGTTAGATGGAGATCATCTCCAATATGTTTTAAAATTTATTCTAATTTTTTGAAAATAATTTTATTTATTGTTTTCTTACTGAGAATATCCCAAATTTTTTTCTCGACTTATAAATTTCTTTCTCAGAATTCGTGTTATTTTTGAATACCGCATAGAATTTATTCGTACCAAACAAATTTTTTATCTGTAGAGACATTAAGTTCTATATAGTATTTCATTTCTGTTGTGTTTTTGTTTTTGTTATGTTGTATCGAAGAGTCAAAATAAAAGTTAAACGGAAGTTTAGCAAACATTTGAGAGCAAAATATGTCAGCGTGAAAATTTTACTTTTATCGCAGAAAACATGGAAACATTAGCCCCATCTGTGGTTAAGGGAATAAAAAGTTGCAAGCGAATGTATTCCCAATCTATTGGAAACTTGGTTTTTAGCCACAAAAGGAATCTTTTTCATTTAAGTTTTTCTTTTTATTGCAATCATTTTTCATCGTTTTTTGGTTGTTTGTTTGCCTTTGAGAGCTGTTTGCCTCTTATCGGGTTGGATTTGGAAACTCATGCGTTGTGAGGTGAAGTCTTTTATTTTCAATTTTTGGAGTCCAAATACAAAACACAAATCTCACACAACACCGTAAATGCGACTTTTATGCAGGATATGTGTCTGTAGGTCCTTTAAGTAAACATTTGATGTATTTTAAATTTATTTCATTTTTTTACTTGGAACAGTTTTCAAGTGGTTACAGTGTTCACTGCTCTGCGTAACTTTAGTTTTCATTGAGATAGCTTTATGTTAGTATTTATTTCTCATTATTGTTCTTAACATTCTTATTTACAATTTTATTTTTATTTATGAGTATACAGGCTAAACTACAAACTTTCATCAACCACAGTTTATGAAACATAGTAAAGATGTGGTGGTCGAGAATGATATCAAATGAAAAACTCTGGAAGCAAACCAGTCAAGTATCTATAAATATTGAAATCCATAAAACAAAAATATGGGTGGATAGAATATACAGTGAGTAAACCATATGAGGACATAACGCACACAGCGCTAACGTGGAAACCCCAAGGAACCAGGCGTAGAGACAAGCCCACTACAAAATGCCGAAGAACAATAAACAGTAGCACTGGCGAATCGTTTATGGAGCTTAGACAACTGTCACAGAATATAGATAGATTGAAATCATTTGTTGTATCCTTAAGTGTCTAATGGAGTATGGTATAAATAATAATACAAGTTATAAGGTCATGAAATACAGGTTACCCTCTGATTTAATTGATCAGTACACAACACTCTGAAAAAGGAAAGAGACAAGCATGAGACTAAAAAGCCTTCCTTCGTTTTATTATGTGCAATAACCACATAATCGTCAATAATTATTGGAGAAAGTAGAGAGTATAAAAGGTTACCCCATACGTGTAGCTGATTTAGCAGCACTGTTTCAGTGACAAAACTGAAACAAAGCTATCATCCAAAGCATCATATATAAATCTTAAGGCTTTCCATTTTTCTATATAGATTTTTTAGTAACCATTGATTATGTTATAATTGTCCCATAACAAAAATGATAGTTCTGTAGTAGTAAGGCACTTGGTCGCCGAAATTGACGAGTGGCTCCAAGACGTTCTGTTAATAAAAGTACTTACTGTATTACTAATGGCGTATTGTGCCATTGCATCGATGTTTTAGTGGTGGTATATTCCGACAAGTCCTGATCAACTTCAGTTTTATCTGAAAAACCAAATATTTTAACAATGATAATTCGAGTAAATATTGTCATTATAAACGAGTATATATTCTCAACGGTTTGAGGACATCACACTAAGCAAAAGATGTCTCCGAATGGAACTGCTCATAATTATATTTCGTCTGCCGAAATACAATTTCAAGTTTTGGTGATATGAATTGATCTAAAAATTATGCGATTTGTCACACCTGGAGCAGACAATTATGCTGCTTCTCGTGTTTTGTGAATAAATATTTAACAAAATAAGTGCAATTTATTGCAAAGCATATTCGAGCAAGCTTATCAAAATTACTTTAAAAGTATTCGAAATGTGCGATGAGTCACATTTAATGACAAGTTCCAAGATATTCAAAATATTAACCATTTATTGCTTCCAAAAGCAATAATTACTCAATCCAAATTAACTAAATAAAATTCTTTTTATAGTCTTATTAAAATTAATAGGAAGTGCTTTAAGTAGCATAAGAGTACTACTTACTACCACTATTCACTTGTCTGTATAACTAAACAGCCTAATTGTAAATACAGCATCCAGATACCCGACGCTCTCAGCATTAGGCAAATTTTTCTGAGAGAGTACGTTGTAGTGGGTAATAGAGGTTACTGAAGAAATAAGAATACGTTGAAAAGTTTAGACATAAAACAAGCAGCAAGAAACAAGCGGTACAGTTCGTTTCGAAGCACAAAATTACAGTAATACAGCAATCATCCTATGCTTTAAACAGAAACTATCAGAGAGGATACTGAAGAAATAGCAATGCCATAAGTATTTTGTATACACGGTTGCCACTTATGGTACTTTAGTACCAAAATTGGTACTTTTTTTTTTTTTTTTTTCGTTTGGTACTCACTTTCAAAAAATGGTACATTTTTGACGACCCAACTTTATTGTGGATATTTAAAATTAATTTTTTTTATAAATGCAACTTTGCACTATTTTATATTTTGTTCATTTATAACACTATGAAAAACACAGAACGAGAAAACAAAAAGGTCCAAAAAAATTTTGGACCTTTTTTTACAGAAATGGTACCTTTTTAAACCAATTTTGGTACCCAAAAAAATTTTCAAGTGGCAACCGTGTTTGTATATGACAATGACGTCAGAAAATGTGTGTCAAAAATTTATTGTTCCAAAAAATAGTTCCTCGTGAGATAAAAAATCGCTGTAGTGCCATAAGCTCTCTGTCCAATGTATTCCCGAAATTTTTGTTAACAAAGTTTGATTGTAAACGAAAAAAGAATGCCTATTAGAGAGGTTGCTGAAGAAATAGAATTGCTGTGAATTCTTTGGACATGAAATCAGTGGCACAAAAATTTGTTCCAAAAATTTATTGTTCCAAAAAATATTTTGTTGCGAGACAAAAAATCATTATAAAGTCGTAACAACTCTATTTTTTAGACATGATATCCTGTGATTGTTTTCTATACTCCAAACTTAAAACTCAAGTGATTATATATCTCAAATAGAGATGACATATATGCGTACCTTAGAATAAGCTTAAGACACAACCAAAGAAACGATACAATCCTGTTTCTCAAAATAAAAATTTCAGTGTCTTAAGTGCATCATGTCAAAGAAGGAATAGTTTAAAGAAGATTAGAGATTAATTAAATACTTTTTGAAAATTTGATAAACTCTCTTTAGTTCTCATCCACACCTCGTCAACGTATTCCGTACTGAGCACTGAAACCATATATTTCTGACAATTTCTGAAATGTGCCAATTTCTTTCTTTTCTGCTATAATTCCTATTCACAGTAAACACAAATAAAATAAATAGGCGCATCAATAAAACCACATTACTTTCAGAAGTTCACAAAGTTCTTTCCGCTGACTGTTATAATCTCTTCATGCGGAACTAAAAGTGACAATGCCTAACAATGTGTTTATCCATGATATTACAGTAGATTTTTTTTTTCGCACGATGATACAAAATAAACATAAAAATTTTATGTCAAAGAACAAAAACGTGATTAGAATTTTTTAGTCACACATTGACCGCATCGCTTCCCTGTCAACTATTCATATTCATTGCACTAATGATGTCATTCAAGCCGCCCACTCATTATAGTCCACGAGTATTCACCATTAAAGAATTTAGTCTTAAGTCCACTGATTATTTGTGACCGATTATAAGTGAATCGTATGCAATCTGCATGCCGTTATGGTATTTATTAATTTGAACATTCAATTACATTT